CCCCAAAACCCCAAAACCCCAAAACCCCAAAACCCCTTTCAAATTTAATATATTTAACATTGCTTTGTGAACAAATGGCAACACAGACTTTAACACAGATGGTGAGGACAAGTCCCACACTGGACTCTGTAAAGGAGGAATCCTTTGAAAGTATGCCACCTGCTTACTAACAATATAGATGAACTTTCTTTTGAATCCCGAGTTCTGAGGAAAGTTAAGAAGAGCCCTTACTGCCATTCAGTTGTATCAGATGTGAATAATTTGGATGATCTGTCTCTAGAACAGAGAGAATCAGATTTAAGAAAGATGAACAACTCTTTTGACACTCCTTTGGATACTGATATGGACTTTGACCTCATCCCTGATACAGATATCCCCATTAAAAAGAAATCAAGAAGCATTTTTGGTTGGATGAGACGGAAAACAAGGAAGAAGCCAACTAAAAAGGCTAGAGTTCATACTTTTCCCTGTTCTGGGATGAAGGAGATTATTCTCAGGTCAAAGAAGCATGGCATCATGAGCAATTCTGATAAGAAGGATTTCTTCACAAGAATTGCAAAAACTGGTTATCTAGCTGATGATCTCAGACAAGATATGTGGATGCTCGCTTCTGGAGCTGTTAGGATGAAAAGAAACAATCCTGATTATTACTCTGTTGAGAGTAACTCGAAGTGACCTTACATCAAAAGATTTGGACACCTCTCAGACAGCTGCCACTTTTGTAAATTAGTAAGTAGTATTAATAACCTGAATTTAACTTTTTCTAGAGTGATAGGAGAAAGTCTTCGTGAAGCTCTTCACAAATGCCTTTATTGGAGTCATACCCTGAAATGCCCGAATCAAACAATGATCAGATTACGTTAGACTTGAATCGAACAACCGTTGACCAAGAATTTAGTACCATTCCAGAAGATAGCACTTATTACAAAATGGAGAGACTTTTGCAGTCGTACTGCAAACGTAATCCTTATGTAGGATATTGACAAGGGATGAACTCTATAGTATGAAATATTTTCAAATATATCAAAGATGAGGAGGATGCCTTCTGGCTCTTTACAACATTATTAGAATGTGTCCTTCCTCTGGACTACTATTCACTACTGATCCAAGTCGTAATAGACCAGAAAGTTTTTATGGATCTTGCTAAATCCAAATATCAAAAACTAATGCAGAAGAGGGAAATCAGTGAAGAATCATTTATGATGAAATCTTTCCAATGGTTTATCTGTCTTTTCACAATTAACTGCAACTCAGAGATAATTCCCCTGATTTGGGACTTTCTAATGCTTGAAGGCCAGATCTCTCTCTTTAAAACAGCTTTAGTGCTAGTCTACAGTGAGCTGGAGGATATTCATCTAGATGAAGAAGTTTTCCTCAAGCTGTATCTTAAGCAGAAAGATGTGACAGATGAAAAAATCTCTAAGTTAAGGAAGCTTCACAGAAAGGATGTGATTAAAGAACATAGAGGAATTCAGAAATATGAGCTAGACCTTGCGAAGAATAAGATAAACGAGTCAGTTTATCAAAAGAAGGTCTGAATACTGAATAAGTTTGAAAACTTAAATCTAGTTATGAAGAAGTGATGAGACCGAGGCCAGAGCTCTGTTAGAGATAATCTTACAATTCCAGAAGGCTTAAAATGAAATCCTGAGAATCCAGTCTGTCTTTATGACTTTACTACTAGAGCTACTGTGATTCATCATTTGGTATACAAGGTAGACGAACCTGTGAATATTATACACGATTATTTCGGTGAGGATGATTCTGAACATTTTGATATACCTTTTCCCAACAAAAAGAGGGATAATAGAAGAGAAAGTTCGGACAAGGGTCTTCTTATTGGCAGAAAGATGCATCTATGAAGAGAGCCAGGGTTTGAAAAGTCTTTTCAAATGCTTTTTAACAAAGATGTGACTAAGATGTTTGAATCCTTGACTTTATTCTATCAATATATCAATGAAAAGTCAGGGATTATGCTTTCAAATCAATTTATAAAAGAAACAAAGGATTCTTGCACAGACATCGAATGCCAGAGCTTCTGTTCTGAGTTCTCAGATTCAGTTAGGAAATGAGATGATGCTCTAGAAGATCCTTGCGAGTTTGCATTTGATTCACTTCTGAACCAAGGTGATCAATCAGAGCATATTCTCGAACAATGACAGCTGGATAGTGGAGAGATGGCAAGTGAACGAAAAAGCTTGAGTAAATGAATGCAATTTAGGTAAGTTTATTCTTTCTTAACATCTAGTACTCTCAAAATGGCTGAAAAAATTGGCGAGATTAGGTCACTCCAGATGGCTAATAAAATTCTCTCTGGGGATGTGAACATTCTTGACTCTTACCGCTTTGAAGATTCATAATTCATCTTTATCAATTGTAATCACAAGCAAAGGGGTTTTGGGGTTTTGGGGTTTTGGGGTTTTGGGGTTTTGGGGTTTTGGGG